TTGATGAAAGTGAAAGAGGAGGAGAGTGAAAAAGCTGGCTTAAAACTCAGCATTCAAATAACTAAAATCATAGCACCCAGTCGCATTTGCCACTTCATGGCAAATAGATGGGAAAACAGTGGAAACAGTGACAGACTTTCTTTTCTTGGGCTCCAAAATCAGTGCAGATGGTGACTGCAGCCATGAAATTAAAAGATGCTTGCTCCCTGGAAGAAAATCTATGACCAACCTAGACAGCATGTTAAAAAGCAGAGACATTACTTTGCCAACAAAGGTCCATCTAGTCAAAGCTATGGTTTGTCCAGTAGTCATGTATGGATGTGAGAGTTGGACCACAAAGAAAGCTGAGCATCAAAGAATTGATGCTTTTGAACTGTGGTGTTGGAGAAGACTCTTGAGAGTCCCTTGGACTGCAAGGAGATCAAACCAGTCAATCTTAAAAATAAAAAATAAAAAATAAAAAATCAGTCCCAAATATTCATTGGAAGGACTGATGCTGAGGCTGAAGCTTCAATACTTTGACCACCTGATGCGAAGAACAGACTCATTGAAAAAGACCCTGATTCTGGGAGAAGATTGAAGGCAGGAGGAGAAGGGGACAACAGAGGATGAGATGGTTGGATGGCATCACTGACTCGATGGACATGAGTTTGAGCAGGCTCTGGGATCTGGTGATGGACAGGGAAGCCTGGTGTGCGGCAGTCCATGCAGTTGCAAAGAGTCATACAGGACTGAGCGACTGAACTGAACGGAACCAGAGATAGGACCTTGGCTTTGCTATTCTGCTGGCCTTACCAAAAGCCCTCTGAAAGGGCCTGCCTTCACTACCTGGTCTAAAATAAGGCTTTTCCTATCTCATTTCTCTGTCACAATACATGCTGTTTGTTTCCTTCATAATTCCTTTCACAATGTGTAATTGTCTTGTATTTTTATTATCTGTCTCCTCCCACTGCAACTAGTATGGATGCTCATGAGGGCAGGGATGTGTCCATCCTGTATAGACTGCTGCATCATCAGGGCTGCCTTAGTAAAATGCCAGCACAGAGCAGGCGCTCAATAAATACTGAATGAATGAAAAACTCAGGAGACACATATTTCTGAAGGATTTTTGGATAATTGTGAGTCTTTCCTATTCTATACTATTTTTCCCTTGGATCAAATTACAGAGAGCTATGCACTTGATACAGTGTTTTAGTGTCTCACTGAATTGCCTTTTCTGAAGTGTGCTTTGGTACTGTGCCACCAGCTTTCTTTTACCAGTGATTACAATTGTAAACACAGGAGAATATCTTTGTATTTTTTTTAATATTTTATGTATTTATTTATTTGGCTATGCTGGGTCTTAGTTTCAGCATGCAGGATCTTTCTTTAGTTTTGGCATGACATGTGGGATCTAGTCCCTTGATCAAGGATCAAACCTGGGCTGCCTACATTGGGAGCGTGGAGTCTTAGCCTCTGGACCACTGGGAAAGTCCCTCTTTGTATTTAAAGTAGGGATGTTGTCAAGGACATTTTCAACTATATTACATACCTCTCATGAAATACACCTATAGGAAAATTCTTTCTTAGGATAAAAGTGTCGTAAACAATGGGTTTGTTTTTATTTTATGCTCACTGAATCTTTTTAAAAAATAATTTTCAGCATTCTATTTTTTAAAATTTTTATTTATTTTTGGCTGCACTGGATCTTCATTGCTTTGCTTTGGCTTTCTCCGGTTGTGGCAAGCAGGGGCTATTCTTGTTGCAGTGCGCAAACTTTTCACTGTGGTGGCTTCTCTTGTTGCAGAGTACAGGCCAGGTGCGCAGGCTTCAGCATTGCAGCACATGGGCTCAGTAGCTGCAGAGTGCAGGTCAGTGGTTGTGGCGCACAAACTTAGTTGTCCCAAGACATGTGGAATCTTCCCAGAGCAGAGCTCGAACCCTGCATTGGCAGGCGGACTCTTACCCACTGCACCACCAAAGACGTCCCATCACTAAATCTTGTAACTGAGCATGTTTCCTTCCCTGCTTTGGCCTCGGGAATCTCAGGGCTATAATTTCAGCTGCTGTGTAGGTCTATATGAGATTCTTTTATGTGAGCTATTTTTTTTTTATTTCGGTTTGTTTTACCCACCCTAGTTCTCTGTCCTGAATACCTTAGTTATTTGTTTTATAGTAAGAGTTTCTCCTTTCTTGAGCACTTAATATGTGTGCAGCGGTTTACATACATCATCCATTTAATCTTCACAGCAAGCCGTGAGAACCGGACGTTGTCCGGCCTTGACATGTGAGGAGACGAGGTTAGTAGTTTAAATCTCTGACTCCAGGTCACACGGCCAGTGAGTAGAGAGCCTTGGCCTCAGGTCCATACTCCACCTGCTGTCCAGGTGGCTGACATGATGATCTGCGAGCTTCCTGCACAGAATTACCCAGGATGCTTGTTAAGATGCAGGTTCCTGGGCACCATTCCCAGCCCACTACATAAGAACCTCTTTGAGCTTTGAGAGGGCCCAACTGTCCACATTTAACAGGTGTCCCAAGTGACTCTTGCTGCCAGAAGTTGGAGGGTGTCTGTGCTGCCAGATAGTCACATGCCCTCTGTCTGTTGAGGTGCATTGCATGCATCTTCTCTAACACTGTTTCCCTAACCACCCAGATGCCACTTTCTGTAAAACTTCAAGTCTGTCACACTGCTGACCTCTGTCGTGTGTAGACATACATGTGCATTTGTCATTAATCATCTGCCTATCCTTTTTTTTTTTTCTTTTGGCAGCACCACACAGCTTGCAGGATCATAGTTCCCTGACCAGGGGTTGAACTTATACCCGCAGTAGTGAAAGTACAGAATCCTAACCACTGAACTGCCAGGGAATTCCCTGCCTGTCTCTCCTTTGGTTAACTTCCTGAAGGATATAGTTTCCCAAAATATCCAGAAATTTTTAGCCCAGCCAGTAGAAGTTCTAAGGGAACGTGTTTGCTGCACACAGAGATGACCCTCTTATTCATAGATCTAAAGGGGAGAACCACACGAGTGGAGGGCTGTGCTCAGAGGGAAGGGGTGAGGTGGGGTTTCTGCACACAGCACTGGATTCGTACAGACAGCGCAGGTTCACCTGTAGGCCAGGTGAACTGCCCTCAAATTGCTGCCCTCAAATTGCTCTCAGAGGGAAAGAAAGTTGGTCAGTCCAGTGGTGAGCACCAGAGGATACCTACCATGAACAAGCAAACCTTCCCGGAAGGAGGAGCCCCTGGGCCGGCCTTAATGAAAGCAGAGGGGTGCTCTGGTGGAGGTGGGCAGGCATCCCAGGCCTGTGAGCATGAGAAAACCTGAGGTTCAGGCCTCGCAGGAATGGGAGTGGTCAGCCCTTCCTGAGCATGTGAGCTTGGGTGGAGGAGCACTTCTTGGGAGTCACCCTGCAACCACTAGCTGTGAACTGCAGATGGGTAAGGACCTGTATTTAATCTTTCCTAACATTTCATGTCATACTGGCATCCAACCTTTTAGTGTTGTGGGCTGGTGTATTCTGAAGTTAAGACTTGGTGAGATTAGGGAAGGTTCATTCCTGCCCTGTGTAGACAGGAGATTTAATAGGGGTTGTTATGAGCCCTCTAACACATGGCCGACCCGCTTTCTCTCCTTAGAGTAATTGGGTGGCGCAGCGCGTCCTGTCCCAGGGTGCCGGGCGTGAGCAGAGGCACCCGCCCTCGCCGGGGGCCCAGCGCTGCAGCCGCCCCTGTGGCCTGACCAGGGCCTATCTGGTTGTTGCAGTGCAGGCCACGTGGATGGCCTACGACATGGTGGTGATGCGCACCAACCCCACGCTGGCGGAGTCCATGCGGCGGCTGGAGGACGCCTTCCTCAACTGCAAGGAGGAGATGGAGAAGAACTGGCAGGAGCTGCTCAATGAGACCAAACACACGCAGTAGGCCCCGGGGCAGAGCGGCAGTGACCCCAACTCATGGCCTGGGCACAGAACTTGTTTCTCAATAAACTTATTTTCAAGCACCTCAGGAACCTTTCTGTCTCACCCAGCTGCATTCAAGCCCTGTGAACAGCACCCGAGCCAGGCGAGACGCAGATGCTCTGATAAAGCAGAAGTGCTCGGTGCCAAGGGTGCTGAAGTGAGGGTGAGCCAGAAAAGGAGCCAGACAGGTGGGATGCGGCCAGTATTCGGGCGGGTTTATTTACCTTCCACAGTGAGTTCCAAAGCGGACGGGGAGAACGTCAGTTATTCGGTTGTGTGTCTGGGGCACTATGCTGGGCACTCGGGTGTGCCCTTAACGTTCTCACAACCCCATTTCAAACAAGAAAAGCCATGGTAGATGTCTCATCCAATCCACACAGCTAATGAGGGACTGGTGGAAAGTGGGGCAGGCTCCTGCAGGGGCCGAACCAGAGGGAGAGACAGCACCAAGCTGCAGAGGGGTAGAGCTGAGTGGTCCTGGCTGGCCTGGGCGAGGGTCTGGGCAGGGGTTATAGCCAGCAGGACACTCACAGACAGGGGTTCTCAGCCCTTGAGGTCAATTAGACAAAAGAGGGCTTCAGAGCTGTTCCAAGATAGAACCAGCCAGACTCCGGAGGCCTTGGGCCAGGCAGAAAGTCCCAGAGACAAGGGTGCTTTCCTGGGGACTCCTCTGGTCTCCCTTCTCACCCCCTTGAGTGCTCCTTGCCTGGCCTGGAGCCCCCAAGGTCAGGTCAGGCAGTGGGTGTTACTGTGAGAGGGGCTCTGCATGGAGGACGGATGGGTTAGCGGGCTGAGGCCCTGGGCAGCCAGGGAAGGGTTAAACAGGAAGCAGCTTGGGTCCCAGGGGAGGTAAGACGCCAGCAACCAGGGCCCAGGTGCTGGGGGCCAGGCCTCTGAGGTGGAGAAGGCACAGAGGAAGGGGGAGCCAGGAGGCTTACTAGAACAGAGAGGGAAAGTCATCCCAGGAACAGCAGCAGACGTTCTGCATCGCAGCCTCCTCCCCGGGCACCTCCCGCCTGTCAGACCTGCCCCAGGGCCTCCCTGGAGAGCAGCCAGTCAGAGGGCAGTCTGCAGTGGGCCCACTGCAGGCAGAGTCAGGGTGAATGGGCAGAGGACCCCTTTGGTCCCCAGGGGGAAAGGTTGGAGCTCCTTGGCCTGGAACTGGGCGGTCCCCTCGGAGACGGTGAAGGTGGCTGTGACCTGGTGGTTGAGGCAGTAGATCGTGTTGCCCAGCACAGCACAGCGCAGCGGGGCGGGGTCGGGCAGGGGCAAGGAGGCAGCCCGGCTCCAGGAGCTCGTCACAGTGTTGTAGCGCATCACCGCAGCCCCCACGCCCCGCAGGAGGTCAAAGCGGTACAGGAAGCCCCCCAGAGCCACCATGTCACTGGACCGCCGATGGCTGGCACTGTAGGGGCACTCGTCCCACGCGTCCTTCATGGGACTGTACCTGAGCAGGCGGTAGAAGAGATGGCCCCCAGTGACATAGATGTCCCCCTGGCAGGCCACAGCTTCGTGAGCCACGGGGAAGGTGCCCGCAGGGAGGGGTGCGCGGGAGGTCCAGGCGTCAGCGCGCGGGTCGTAGCACTCCATGCTGTACAGACACTCGCCCCCGATGGCGTAGAGCAGCCCGTCCAGCGCCACTAGTTTGAGCTGGGCGCGCGCCTGCTGCATGGGCCGCACCTGGCTCCAGATGTTGGTCAGAGGGTTGTAGCAGAACACCTCGTTGGAGCAGACAGCCTCGGCGCCAGACCCACGAATGCCCCCCGCCAGGAACAGGTAGTTGTGCAGAGTGCAGAGGCCGCAGCCTCGCAGCGGGGCCTCCTGGGGCACCTCAGTCAGGGGCCTCCAGGCGTTCTCTCCAGGGTGGAATACGTGCAGGTATGCGGGGGGAGGCGGGGCCACGGGCCCCACGGCGAGAGCCTCCGCCGCAGGGGAGTCCCGTGTGAGCCCAGAGCGGCTTGTCCCGTAGAGGCCGGGCAGCACCAGGGCCCCCAGCACCGCGGGGCCGCGGCCGGTGCGCAGGCTCACAATGCGCTCCCGGTCTGCCCCACTCAGCTGCCGGTAGAGGCTCGGGTCTCTCAGCACGTGAAGCAGATTGTCGCTCATCCAGGCATAGGTCTCCTGGGCCAAGCCAGGGTCCTCGTGCTGCTGGGCAAAGGCCAGTGCCTCCAGGCAACTGCCCAGGTCCAGCCATCGCGGCAGAGCCCCCACGGAGGCCCTGGACTTTCGGGGCCCCTCAGCCACCCGCCAGCCTCCCGGCCTCTGCAGAAACACCGTGAGTTTCCGGGCCTCCTCCTGCTTCTCCGCGAGGCCCTGCCGGCGGCCTGAAGGGCGGGATGCCGTCCCCGTCCCCGGCGCCTGTCCTTGATGCTGCCCTGGGGCCACTCCGCCGGCCTCCTGCTTGGGGCTCTGGGACATTTCACACAAGCTGCGTTTCCTGGGCCGCGGGACTGGCTGGGGTTCCCGCCCTGTAGCCGGGGAGGGTGAAGAGCCAGGCTGGGTCTGCTCAGGGGGTGGGGAGGGGGCCGTGGGCTCTGCGGCTCCCCGCAGCAGCGAGTCCGGATGTTTCTCCTCGGTTCTCTCCCCTCTCGGGCCTAAGGGAGGGCCTGCCGTGGCAGCCCCCTCGGTCTCAGCACGACTCTGCTGGGGCCGGGCTCCAGCTTCCTCCAGGCCCCCTGGACCCGCCCTTGGGGCCAGCCCCTCTGCGCCACGCCTGTCCTCCTCTGGGGGAGCAGCCGACCTTCTGTTCTCAGAGGGTGAGGGCGCGCCCGGATGGCTGGGGCCCTCCAGGGTGGCCCTCGGGGCTCTCCCTGGGGGCCTCTCCGGCCTGGGGAAGGGGTGACTCCTGAGGACCATCGACATGAGGCTTCCCCAGCTGGCTGAGAGCTGCCCCTGCTGATGGTCCTTGCAGAGAACCACACTGGGCTCCTGAGATGCAAGCCCTGATCCACTAGCAGGCGCGGGGGTTGAGGCTGCGGCGGGGGCAGCAGATGGTGCTGCAGGAGGGGCACCTGTCAGGGGGGCAGGGCTCGGCGCTGGGGAGGAGGACCCCGCAGCAGGACTCTGGCTCACTCCCAGGGGCAAGGAGTCTAAAGCAGAGGAGATCGGAGGAACCGGGGCTCCAGGTACGAGACTGGGGCGGGCGTGTGCTGCGGGTGGGGACCCCGGGGGTGGGAGGGGTTTAGGGGTGCACGGCAGGGTCATGGCCGAGGGGCTCAGGGAGGAGATGCAGCTACAAATGTCTGCAGAACCACAGAGCGCCTGGCCTCGCAGGGACCCTCTCCCTTCTCTAATGCCATGGCCCCCTTGCTCCTTTGTCCCTCCAGGCCCTGAACTGGAGACAGCGTGATCTCCAGAGCCATTAGCCCCAGCCTGTCCCACAGTGCAGGCCTCTGTGGTCCCCTTCACTAGGGACAAGGGGGGGCGTCCCCCCTGTGGCCCCTCTGGTGATAGGCTCACAGGGCCCGGGGCCTGGCTGAAGCTCCCGGTGACCAGGACCTCCCTCCTCACCCAGGGCCAGCCTTCCATGGAGGCTGGGGACCCCTGAGACTCCCTGGGGGCCAGGGTCGCAGCCTCCTTGTTCTCACCGGCTGTGGCTCCAGAGTCCAGAGCTAGGCCTTGGGCAGCTTGGGGGCTGCTTTTCACAAGCCCCCTCTCTGAGACACCCATCAAGGGCCTAGTCTGCAGGCTGCACAATGGGATCAGCTCCTGGGGGAACAGGAGCCCCTCGGAGCCTGCGGGCATGCTGCTGGCTGCACCCACAGCATCCCACACGCTCACCACAGAGCCCAGAGACAGGGCGTCCAGCTTTGGCCGGCGGCAGCCACTCTGTCCTGAGTCCACCTGCCCCCACCGGCTGCCCGGGCTCTGCCCCCTCGAGGCAGGTGACCCCGGCCCTTGTTGCCAGGGGCGGCTGTCCCGTACCACCCTGTGGACGGGGGCCTTGCCTCGGACACCCCCTGCCTCTCCCTGCACCTTCACTTCTCTGCCCGGACCCCGGGGGGTGAAGTGTATCAGGAGGGGTGCAGATGACCCTTCACCTTTGCCCCCACCCAGGAGAGCAGAGCCGGACCTGCGAGCCTCCTGCCCTTTACGTCGGAGGGTTTCCAGAGCGGCGTTACCACGCTGCGGTCCCAAGGCCCCTCCACCGGCCCCCTCCCCCGCCTGTGTCTTAAGGGAAGTGGAGGCTGCGGCAACCAGACCTCCGCCGCCCAGGGGCTCCTGATCCTGGGCGCCCGCTGCAGCTGGACTCCCCTGGCCACGTTCTGGAGGGCCTGGCTTCCCCCGCCCTGAGCCGTGACCTTCAACAGCGCCACTGACCTTGTGCTTCGGGGGCAGGGCTGGCCCAGCTGCTCCCACCTGCGAAGGCCGGGGGTCTGTGGATGCCGGTCCCGCCGCCTCCTGGTCCTGCGCGGAGCCAAACCAGTGCAGAGCCAGCGCCGTGGCGGCCACCACGGCCAGGGCCAGCAGGGTCAGCGCGGCGCCCTCCCAGTCTTCGTCCGCGTCCCCGTCCCAACCCCAGGCGAGGCCGCCAGCCTCTGAGGCGCTCTGGGTCATGGTTTGGGCCACCGACCCAGCGAGAGGCGCCGGGCAGCAGGCTGGGAGCTACGTGCTGCGCAACACGCGGGCTTCAGGCCCGTGTGGCCCGGGTGCCGCGCAGATGGGCCTGCGACGTGCCCCGCCCAGAGGGCTGCCTGGCTAAGGAGACTGTGCCCGCGGGCGCGCTGCGGACCCGGGAGGGTGGGCCTCCGTTTAAGAGCATGTGCCGAGTGGGGGTCAGCACAACCCCCAGCAGCTCCAGGAGCTCGTGCCTCCCGGATCCTGCCCCGCCCCCGCCCCTCCCTCTTTCTGGGGCTCCAGGGGCGGATGGCAGTGCCCGTCAGCACTGCCCTGGCAGCCCAGCCACGCGTTCTGCCCAACAGACCCTCACCCCGGCTCCCTCCGCTGAGCTCAGGCCAGTCTCGGGGGCTCTGCCAGGGAAGAGTTACCCACAGGGAGATGTTATCTGTAGCTGCAGCAACACGATGAGGCCCTGATGAAGTTACCAGAAACCCGAGAAGACTGTTCCACTCTGGAGGGGGGGGTGGGGCGTCTCCCTGAGGAGAGGGATGGGGTGGGGGTCCTGACTTCCGAGGTTTGTCCGCAGACAGATGGGAAGCAGGGTGGGATGCAGGCGTGAAGCCACGCCCGGCTCCTGGGTCCAGGTATGCTTGGGAGAGTGGCTCTCGGTTCCCTCCATCCAGCTGCCTCTGGACCCTCTCCACCCTGAGTTCAGAGATGAGACCATTGTCAAAATGCATTTTTAAGCCATCAAGAGTGATGAGTGGACAAAGTGAGGAAAATCCAAAAGTTGTGTTTTCCTCTTTGTTGGCCTGGCTCATTGCAACCTCCCGGAGCCTCCTGGGCTCTCTGGGCTGTCTTGACTGCCAGAGGCCCCTCTCTGCCAGCCATGGAGCCTCCAGGACCCCCCCTCCAGCACCAGCGCCCCATCAGCCTGGTCTCTCCAGCCTCCTCTCACCCCGCCCCTCCCTCTTCTCCAGGACTCAGGCCCCCTGCAGCACATGGCTGCTCAGGGGACAAGTCTTGTCTCCTCTATCTGTTCCTCTCTTCGGCCAAGGAGTAAATCTCAGGACAGCTGCCAGGTGGGGCTAGACATGGAAAGAGCCTGGAGCTCCTGGGACAAAGGCAGGTGCCCCATGACAAGGACTTGTTCCTTTGCTGGGGGTAGAGGACTCTCCCTGACTTAGGCGGCAAGAGGGCCAAGGCCTGTCCCTGGCACACTGCCCGGACCCTGCTGAGCCTCAGGTGTCTCCCCCGCCCTGGGCGTATTAAATGAAAGTCAGAGGGAGGAAGGGGCCCTACCTTAAGATGGACCTCAGGCGGGGAGGACGGTCTTCTGGGTGCCACCCTTATTCTCTGTCCTGGCCCCAGGCTCTGTGTCTGGGTTAAGTTTGGGGTCCAACGATCTTGCAAGGATGGAGACAATGCCACCATCTGCACCTCAGTGCAGGCCATGCAGTATCCCCCACACCTCTCCACCTAGCACCGGAAGACCATGTCATGCTCTGAGCGCCAGGCTGCGTTCAGAGCAGACCTGTCCACCAGGGATGCCTTAGGACACCAGCTTCATGAGGTGCTGAGCCCTGGGACAGGTCCCAGAGGCACAGCCCGAGGAAGGGTCCAGTCCCCTCCCGTGGGGAAAGGAAACACCTGAGTTTTCAAAACCCAGATCGAGGCAAGCCCTGCGCTGCAAGGAGAAACTCCCTGTGGGAAAGTGACTGGAGGCATGCCACCTTCCAAACGGTGGAAGTATTGCCTTCTTATCTTTCCAGAGAGAGTAAAAACGTGGCACTGCTGGAAAGGTGACAGAACTTCAGAAGCACACGGGGTCACCCACAGGAATTGTGACGCGTGAGTAACTGTTCTGGTTGTGCCATCATGGCTTAAATAGCACAGATTCCCATCGAGGTAAAAATAAAGATCGAGGAAATGGGCCCCGGGCAAGTCTGGCCTGTAGTGGCCTCCTTAGAGCTCTGTTCCTCATCGCCTCTGGGGCAGGACCCCTGACCTAGTCCCTCCAAGGAATAGAGGGACTTGGACCTATGGACCCAGAGATCCTGCTTCCTCAGAAATGACACAAAACAGGGATGGAGGCAGTCATCTGCCTGCCAGCACCCATGACCAATGGACACTGAAGGCCTGGGAAGTGGGGAAATCCATCCACATGTGAGCTGATCCATGGCAGTGCCCAGGAAGATCCCCCACTGCTGGGTCACTGAGCCCTGACTGCGCTGGATGGCGCCCTGCACAGAATCACACGGTGCCTTTCTGAAACGTGTGCTAGAGGAAAGCCTAGTGAGATAAAGGCATAACTCCACTGGAGAGCCAACTACAAATGGACGGCTAATATAAATAAGATAGTCGAGAGCAGGAAACTCCACTGAATGTAGGATTTTTCTATTATTGGAATATTTTAAAGTCAAGAAAGATTGTTTAATCAGAAATTATATAAAACAAAGAATATTATATGCATGCATGCATGCTCAGTCGTTTCTGACGCTTTGTGACCCGATAGACCATTGCCTGCCAGGCTCCTCTGTCCATGGGATTCTCCAGGCAAGAATACTGAAGTGGCCTCAGATACTGATCAAATAAAAATGCTTCATACACACTAAAAAAAAATAAATAAATAAAAGAATACTGGAGTGGGCTGCCATTCCCTTCTCCAGAGGATCTTCCCGACCCAGGGATGGAACCTGTATCTCTCATCTGCCCTAATTGGCAGGCAGGTTCTTTAACACTAGTGTCACCTGGAAGCCCATAATATCATATATGTTTATGTTAAGAGTATATACCTATAAATAAATCTAGAATAGCACTTAAGGCTTCAAAAACATAAACCTCAGATTAAACAGTCATACCCAAGAGGGTATACCTCTTAAGGAATCCATCTGAGTGGGAGAAATGTTTATGCAAAGAAAAAATAAATAACACAATGTTATTTGTAATGGAAAAAATTAAACACATAAGCATTCAACAGTATGAGAGTGATGAAGAGAACATGTTTCCACACAGATTGTTTTTTCCAAGTCTGAAAAAAAAAATGCCATTAGTATTTGATAGGGATTGCACTGAATCTGTAGATTGCCTTGGGTAGTGTGGTCATTTTACCAATATTAATTCTTCTAATCAAGAACACATATCTTTCCATCTGTTTCTGTCAACTTTAATTTCTTTCATCAATATCTTCTAGTTTTCACAGTATAGGTCTTTTGCCTCCTTGAAAATGAAAGTGAAGTCGCTCAGTTGTGTCTGACTCTGCGACCCCATGGACTGTACCTGCCAGGCTCCTCCAT